AAAAGTATCTGAAAAACTCAAGTACGCACCTGGCAAAAATTGCATCTGGACTATTCAATAGATAAGAGTATTAAGACTGAGGATCTTGAATTTGATAACTGCACTGGGGTGATGTCAGAACATATTCTTGTTCTTAGGAAATGTACACGGAAGTATTTAAAAGTCAAAAGGCATAATGTCTGCAACTAACTCTCAAATGGTTCAGGAAAAGATCGTGAGATGGCGAGAATGGGAGCGTTAAAGCAAATGTGAAAAATGCAGACAATTGGCAAACCGGAGTGAACAGGGCACAGGAGTTCTCTGTATGATTCTTGCAGTTTTTCAGTAAGGTTGAGATTATTTTCTAATAAAAAGTTTGTTAAGCTCCAATGCATGGGTGCCATGATTCGCAAATTTTAGTGATACACAAGCTCCTTTGTGAAGTTTGACCTATCCACGCCGTTATTTAATAATTTTCTTTAGGTCAAATAAAATTTTTAAATGTAAAGAAACTTAGTCTCATCCCCAAGCAACATAATCCAAAGATGCATAAGTATTCTTCCTCCCAATACATATAAGAAAATATCTAGGAATAGAACTTTTAAAATAGAAACTTCTAAAACAAATCTATATAGGTCCATCACAGCTTGGAAACGCCATCCATGGCTGCTTCCGTCAAGTCCATAGGTCCCCTCTCCCAAATCCCTGCCACGTGGCCCCATAAAGACCCACCACCCTCAGCCCCAGCCCTTACGTCGCTCTCATGTTGTTTTTTGGCTCCAGTGGGATCTCTATAACTTTGGTGTTGCCCACGATCTTCTCATAGCTGGTGGTGGTCACGGTTTTTCCCGTGATCCGGTGCACCTGGTAGAAGGCGTGGGGTTTAAGGATCCGCTCATCAGCTGTCCCAATGAAGATCTGAAGCCCCAGGGGCTTGTTTTCCATGTAGCCATGGAGCTGTGTGGGGCGAGAGAAAATAAAATCAAATTATTACAGCACCGTTGACATGCAGGGTATGGCGGTTACCGTCCAACAAACAAAAAGAACAGAGAAACTCCTGGGCAGCAGAAAAAGCACAGGATTTTGGCACCGTCTGGAGGAATGGAGAACTGGGAGCAAACTTGATGTCCAAGCAGAGGGGACTGCTTCAATAAATTACAGGGATCTTTTCTAAAACAGAATATTAAGCAGCCACACAAAGAATGTGGTAGATCAGAACTGCATGTGTGGAGAAACTGTGCTTAACTGGCAGTCCAGGGTTTGGGGGTGGGGTGGTGTTGCATGGTAGGGTGGATAGAAAATAATTGGAAGAGATAAACCAGAGAGCTCTTGACCATGGTTGGCCTGGGAAGATCCAAAGAAAGAACTTTCACTTTTTACGTGACTGTATTCCAATTATTAATAACAAGTTTGATTTTGTAATTTAAAAAAAGAATGAGCAAGGCAAAAGGACCACCATCTAAGTCAAAAGAAAATTAAAGACTGGAATAAAATATGTGCAATATATAACAGGCAAAGGATTAGTATACAGAATATATAAAGAATGCCTACAAGTGAATAAGTAAAGGACATCATATTTAAAATTGAGTCTCACCCCCCAATGGCTCTCCTATTGCCCTTTCCTTTTTTTTTTTAATCCAATCTAACATACTATATATTTACTCAGTTCCTTTTGCCTTTCGCCTACACCTAGACTATTACCTCTTTGAGGGCAGGGCTGCCTGTTTAACTTGCCACACAATCCCTAGCACCTAGGATAATGCTGGGCGCATGGTAGACAGTATAGCACATAGTTGCTGAATGAATTAATAAAACTATCCAACAGAAAAAGATGAGCAAGAGATTTGGACAAGCAATTCACAGAAAAACAAATAGCCATTAGCACAGAAAGGAAGATCAATTTGACTTGTCAACAGAAAAATGCAAATGAAACAACCTTGAGATGTCATTTTTCACCTGTTAGATTAGCATGCATGTAGATACCTGATAACATCAAGTATTTTGCAGACTGTGGGGACATAAGCACTGTCATGCAGCTGATAAGAAATGCTTTAACTATTTTAAAGAGTATTGAAGTGATACCATAGCTATTAAAATTTTAAAAACACACATATTCCCTATGACCCAGTAATTCTGCTTCTCAGTATGTACCCTAGAAGAAATACTGTGCATGCAGGAGACATGCACAAATGTGTTTACTAAAACAAATGGAATAATAAACAACTAGTTATAGCAATAGGTTTATGAACAGTATGACATGTCCCGACTAGGAAAGACTGCAGCAATTTTAAAAACAAAGGTAGAGACCTGTGAACTGATCCAGAAAGATCTAAGACATAGTGTTGAAAAAGAAAAGCAATTTGTAGAAAAATATGGATAGTGTAATAACTACTTATTTAAAAACGCTGAGTTTTTTCAGTCCATCCCTTTATATACATGCAAATGCAAGAGGAAAAGGTGTAGGAGGGTGTGCTCCAGACCGACAACACCTTGATCACTTCTAGGGATGGAGGAGAAGATCAAGATTGAGAAGGTAGTCAGAGGACTTCAAATTTATTCACAAAGTTATAGGACAGATATATTTCTGGAAACTTGTGAAATTTAACATTGGTTTTGAAAATATATAACAAAAGAAAAAAAATGTGTATTGAACTGAGTGTTTTGAACTGAAGATGGGTTTCTGTCTTGCCACTCCCCAGCTGAGAAATGCTGGGCAAATCATTTAATCCTTCTTTGCCTCTGTTTCTTTCTCTGCAAATCGAGGGAAGCTGTGACGAGTGACAACAAAGGTCCCACCCTTCCAGAACATTCTACAAAATTTCAATAGGCTCTCCAGTCACCTGGCAAAAACCAAAGGTTCCAGGGTAATAGAGAATGACACACGGTCCAGGGTTGTGCTATCCAATACAGTAAATAATACAAAAAATAAAATTGAAAGTTCAGTTTCTCAGTTGCACTAGCCACGTGTCAATTGCTCAATAGCCACAAATGGCTAGCAGCTACCGTAAAGGACAGCACAGGTGCGGAACATTTCTATTATCGAGGAGCGTTCTATCAGACAATGCCAGTCTAGAAAGACAGAGTTCTCTCGCCCCCTTCTAAAAATGATACAAAGAGACAGGCTAGCAGTGGAGCAGTCAGATGACAACCTTTTTCATCATCTGCCACAGCATTTACATGTGTGTCTGATACACACCCAAGGTGCACCCGAGGGCAAAGATGGAAATCGAAGTCAGAGCCTCTTATCTTTCTCCCCCATGCCAACTGAAGAACAAGGTACTGTTCTTGGTGACAAAAATCAAAGGAAGAAGGGCAGTGTAGGGAAGAGATTTTGTTTTTGTTGTTTTTGCCTTGCATTTGGACCCAAGATAAATATATTTCCTCATTTCGCCTCCTGGATTTATCAGGAAGTGGTAAACACAGCACCACACAGCACAGAGAAGAAAAGTACGTAGGATAGAGAGTACGCCCTGATGGTCTGAGGTTCCTTCCTCCTCCAGATCACAGAAGAGATGAAATTGCAGGCTGAGTGCCTTCATAGTAAACACCCAGGGAACACCTGCAAATAAAACCTGTCACGTCCACACCACTCTACCTCAGTCCGGCTACTTCAGCCCACTCCCCTGCTGGCACACCTAGTCCAAGCCACCATTGCCTTGCCCTGGAGTGACTACCACTGCCCTCTAACTGGCCTCTTGTTGGTCTCTCACAGAACAGCCCAATGGCCTTTTAAAAATGCAAATGAGACCCAGCTGCTCCTCTCCTTACAACCCTCCAAAGACTTCCTGTGGCCTTAGAACAAAAATGAAACGTGGTGCCATGGTCTCTGAGGCTTCCAACAGCCCAGCCTCTGCCTTCTTCTCCTTCCATCCCATTAGGCACCAGCCATCCTCCTGTTCCTTGAGCACACCAGGCTCTTTCTGACCTCAGGGCCTTTGCACAGCCATCTTCTCGGCCTGGAATGCTCTTTCATCAGTAGTTCTCTGATCTTCAGGTCTTTCCTGAACCACATTTACATACACCCAGTGCTGGAGCCGGCTCTTTCAGCCTTGCAAGAGCCAACTGTTAAATTTTTAGGAATTTTAAGAGCCAGTTCACATTACTTTGGTAGCTTGAAATCAGCCATGGTGGGGATATTGACACCACATCAATTGACAAGTGCGACAAATTGGGGGCTCTTTCTTCTGGGGAATTGGATGTTAAATATTCACTAGCACAGTGCTGGAATAGTTGCTTTATTAACAACGGAAATCCCCTCATTCGTTGTTTCTTTCCTTAGCATCTCTCTCTCCCACCTGAGCATGAGCTTCATGGTAACTGGAACCTTGTTATTTGTTCAGTGTGATCAATAAATGTGTTGAATGAATGATCACCATCAACAACAATGCAGCAGCTAAGTGCACACCCTGCTTGGGCCAGGCACTGCGCACCGATGTTTTACCTGTATCACAACTCTATGTAGGGCAAGCCCACTTTTTAGACGAGTAAACTGAGGCTTGGAAAGGTCAGGCAACTTGTCCTAGTCAACGCCGTTAGTAGAGGGCAGAGCCAGGACGTGAACTCCGGGCCATCAGGCTCTCAGCCCACTCCCTTAACCGACACACTGCCCATGTCCCTGGCATCGGATGAACTCACAACTGCTCTCTGATCTACGACTACAGGTCAGAAAGTCAGGTCCTCAAAGGGAACACTGGGAAGTGCCAAATTATAAGATCAAGGGTGTTCTTTCTACTGGACAAGGGGTATGGGAAGAGGAAGGGAGATGGAAGGCGAGAAACAAAGAGAAGACAGCAACCACAACAGATGAATAATGGTGCCCCTGGAGGGAGAAACCCTCTCCTTTACGGAGGATGCTTCTGTGTCCCAGAGCAGCCCCTGGGTGAGCAGGACTAGCTGATACAATGTAAGGAGGTGGAACCCCTCACCTTGGTGAGTGTCCCCTCCCCAGGTAACACCAGAGAAGGCGATGATACACTAGAAAGGAGAGCATATGTCCCATTTGGTCAGACATACCTGGACCTCAGTGCTGGCTCTGCTTTTTAAAAGCTGTGTGTCTTTGGAGCAGTGACCCCGCCCCTCTGAGTTTCCATTTGCTCATATAAAACAGAGACATCACCTCCCACTCCCCAGGGCTCTTTCGAAGACTAAATGAGTCGACCTTTGTAGGGCCCCAGAGCACAGCACCAGGTAGGTGGTGCCCATGAAATGAGAACCGTCTTTGTCATCAGAGGATGATGCAAATCGGTACAAGGAGGTGATATTACAGAACTGAATGGGAAGGCGAAGAATGAATGTGAAAGACCCACAAACTGAAAAACAACCAGAAACATCCCTGTGTGTGGTGACACCCAGTCACGAATTTCAGTCTTTACTGTGGGCTTAGCAGCTGGAAGGAGGGGCCAAATTGTATGAAACGTACTCTCCTCTCTCCCCCTCCTCCGCCCCAGAAGGCAGTAGGAGGTGCCTGGACCCTGGATGCTGAGCGTGCTCACTCTGAAAGAGCCCTGCCAGCTCTCCGGAGCTTTGGATAGAAGAGCATGGAGCTATTTACTTGCTTCTCAAACAACGGATGATTTGCGTCTTGCAAATAAACTTGATGCCTTGGGATGGTGTGATCTGCACCTCAAGGTCCCGAACGCCCTGTCATCCCCACTTTAGGGAGATCTTGGTCACAAGGGCTCTCTCCAGGCTTCTCCCCAGGTCAGGCCTTCTCAGAGGCGCAGGCAAGCAGGGTCACCTTCCAGCCACAGCAGACAGCTGCTGCAACCTAGCTCAAGGTCAGCTGGCCTCCAAAGCAGAAGAGCCCCTTCCTGCAGCCACGGTGAGAGCGAAAGTTTTGTGCTTCTTGTAATTTTCCAGGCTGTCGACAACATTCCAGGAAGCAGCGGTGTTTCTAGGGCACGTTGTGAGGGCAGGGAGTGTCATCGCTGATTTAATATGCACAGAAATGCTGCAAA